TCGCCAACTGCAGAGTGGTCACCACAGCTGTCCCTTTGGCCCCAGGTATACTGGGTACCAGTGTAGTCGGGCTCTGCAGGTGTGTGCAGGCTGTCTGCCAAGTCCCAGTCCCAGGCTGAGGCCTGACCTCAGGACTCCTCTTAGCCATCACCTGGAAATATCACCTGTGCCTCAGAGAGGTTAAGCGACTTGCCCCATGGCACTCAGCAAATAGTGGCAGAGGCAAGATTTGAACGAGGGCTTCCATGCTCCAAAACTCTTAGCCGCTGAGCTCCGCGCCTCCCACGTGACTGGTATTTGTTGAGTAGACAATGTTCTCGGTGGCCCTTTGGAAACCCAAGGGTCTGGATGCAGTCACAGAGGCAGTCCATTCTTGAAGATTGACTAAAAGCCATGGAAACTGGAGGGGATAGGAGGACACAGCACCTGGGACTCGCTCCCTCTGCCTCCCCAGCCCTCCAAGGAGAACCTGAGTGATCATGCTGAGCTAATCTCAGTGACACTGACGTGTGAGTGACACTCAGTGAGATTGGGATACCCACCAGCCTCCAGAGCCTTCCGCTCCCAGGGTATGACAAAGTCAGAGCTGTCCTTCTTCCCACTGTACTGATGAGGAAATTGAGGCACCAAGTAAGGAAAGTCCACATCTCTCAAACAGTCTACAGGGCAGGAACTGTAAGAACATGTTTTCCAAGCCAGGCATGATGGTACGTGCCTGTAATCCCAGCTCTCAGGTAGCTGAAGCAGGAAGGTCCCGAATTCGAGGCCAGCCTGAGCTATACTCTGGTTCAAAAAAAAAAAAACAAAAAAACAAAACAGCTGGGAGTATGGCTCAAGTGGTAAAGCATCTGCCTAGCAAGTGTAAGGCCCTGGGTTCAAACCCCAGTAGCACAAAACCAAACAAACAAAAAACCTAAAACAATAGCAACAAAAACCCCCAAGAATGTGTTTCCCAGGCTGACCCAGTGGCAGAGCACTTACCTAGCATTCAGGATGCCTGGGTTCCATCCCCAGCACTGCAAACCAGTTTTTAAAAAACAAAATATGATTTTTAATCTCCCAGGAGGGAGACACTTACAACACACAGTCACACTGCAGGTAGGCAGTGACATGTCTTGGTGACAGTTCCTAAATGCTGATTCTCTGTTTCCACACCTATCTTGGTCAACAGTGTGGGGACTAGCACCAATCCTTGGTCCACACTTTGGTAGTACAGGGTCAGGTGGCTCATCAAACGTCACAGCTGGGGTTTGACTTGGACCCTGGCTCCAGAGCCCGGGCCTCCAGCCCCTGGCTGCACCTGGAGTGGGGGCGGGAAGAGTCTGGCCCTTGTATATTTTATAAACTAAATATCCCAGAAAGAAGACAAGGCAGCTGGTAGAGCCATTGCTGGGGGTCAGGAATTCACTCCAGTTACTTTTGGAGGAGGATTTAAATCACTGGGGCCTTGCTTTGATCTGGGGCATTCTAGCAGGAGCCTCCATCCCAAAGAACTGAACCAGCACTCGAAGTGCCTGCTCTGTGAATTTCTGGGGAGCTAAGGTCGTCCCTACCTGTCCATTGTGAGAAAGGCCCAGGCTCACACAGTAGTCTTAGAGGGATCACCAGGCGGGGATCAGCCCCTCAGAATATGGAGGGGGCAGAAAGGGGGGTTTGTTATCTCCATCTTTCTCAATACTGCAATCACGATGAGGTTCCTTTGGTGAAGATACAGTCCTGCTTTGTTTACCTCATTGTGGGAGAGGACACTGGCAAACAGAAGGTGCTCAATATGTGTGTGGGTTACATGTCTCCCAGGAGGAAGAAGGAAGGTAGGTCTCTCCAAGAGGGCCCCTTTACTTTTTTCATTTTTGTAGGTACTGGGGTTTGAACTCACCCTCGCTAGGCAGGTGCTCTACCACTTGAGCCCACAGCCCTAATCGTTTATGCTTTAGTTATTTTTCAGGTAGGGTCTAGCATTTATCCAGCCTTGGACCACAATCCTCCTACCTATGCCTACTGCATAGCTGGGATTATAGCAGTGAGCGACTATGCCCAGCCCTCCTTTGTGGCGGGTGCCACTGTCCTTCATTAGGAAGCCCATTGTGGGCCAGGCTGGGGACTGACACCCTTCAAGTAGTGTGGGAGTCTGTGACAGCCACATTGGCTCTTGAATGTCTGGTCTGCACCGTATCCAGGGGATCCTGGGGTGCAGCAGAGCACAGAGCATAGCCTCTGGCCCATGGAGGACAAAGCCGGACCTGCAGCTTGCATCTGGGTTCACACGCACAGCCTGGCCTGCCTCTTCCCCATCACCCACTGCTCCCTCAGGGCACCCTGGGGTCTCTCAGGACGAGCACAGGGTTGAAGCCACAGTTTAGTGGCGATCCCTCCTTACTTCTGCCTCTGGTCTTTCTAGCTGCCTCAGCTCCAGCTCAAGGTCAGGGAACAGATAAACCCTTTTCCTGGAGCCATCTCACCATGGAGAGGATGCCTCCAGCTAGAATACAATTCTGAGTCAGGGCCAGGGCTCTCTTTCCTGTGAATGTGAGGACAGGAAGGAAATTTTTGTGGCCATAAAATGAGTAAAAATGTTTTGTAGGCAGAGAAGAGGCTGAGCAGTTGGTTTTGGTCTAAGGCACAAACACCAAATGGAAATGGTCAGCCCTGGGAAGGGAGTGTGGGGGTACTAGAATATTCTTGTAGCTATAACAATATTTTTCCTTCCTAGGGGGGGCTGACCAGATATTGGCCCTGGTGTGGAGGGCATGGAATCACCCCTGGCTCACAGTGACAGAACATCGTGGGGTCTAAGTGGAGTCACAGGCAGAGGCGTGAGCAGGGGGTTGAAGGCACAGGACTTTTCTAGGCTTTTGGCCAAGACGGTCCAGCAGTTGGAGCCAGGAGTGTGGCTTTGGAGATGTGGTATGCACAGAATGAACTTGGTGGATCTCCTACCTTAGAGGGGTGAGCCCAGAGCCCCAAGAAGTCAACATCGGGCAGCCTGGGCAAGGTGACACAGATAATGGCGGGGAATTAAGATCTTATCCAAAGGACAATGGAGAGCCATGAAAGGGTGAAGTAGAGAGCAGAGTGGTCACGGTTATATTTCAGGAAGTCCCTTCTGGCTGCACTGGGTACATAGCCTGGAGCCAAGCAAGAGGCAGCGATGGGCACATGTGAAGTAGAATGGAAGTGGAGTCAACAGACTGGGTGATTGCTGGATGCAGTTCAGGAGTTGGAGACAGAGGAAGGGATGAAGATGACACCCAAGTCCCCAAGAGGAGAGGGCATGGTTTTGGAGGAATACATGTTTTTTGTCTCTTGGATACGTTGAACTTTGGACCGGTTCCATTGGGCAGACGTAGACAGAGAGTACAGCCTTGGCCCAAAGAAGCCAGAGAGGGGGCCCTATAGGGCTCTGTGGGGGACCTTGGAGGCCCAAGGGAGACCCTGTGGGAGCTGAGTGGAACCTGTTTGAGGGGTCAGTGGGAGACAGCTGGAGGGTGGGAGATGGCCTTCTGTAGCTTCCACTGTCCCTCCCTGCATCCCTGATGCCCCTAGATCTGGTGGGCTTACCCTATCACCCACTCTGCCCAGGGGCAGCATGGGGAGGTATTAGGGTGGGTGGATGAATGGACGAATGGGTGGGGTCTGGAAGACGGGGAGATGGGTGAGGGTGGGGGATAGCTGGGTGGATGGATGGGAGAGCAGAAGGGAGACAGGCAAGTGGAAGAGCACCGAAGGGGCAGATTGGAGCGGTGATGGGCAGGTGGGTGAGCGGGGAGGCAGATGGATGGTGGGGTGGAGGAGCAGGCAGAAAGGCAACTGATGAAATGGGAGACAAGGTTGACTCAGCACATGGAAGTTTGCAGAAGGCCGATGGTGCCCAGGGAGAGGCTCCTGTGCCCTGCCCCTTCCTCTGCCCCTGTTCCTCAGGGCACTCTCCTTCCTACTTGGAACACGATCCAGCTCTAGGCGCTGAGCCAGAGCTGTGCCTTCCAGAACCCTTTTCCACCTTCCACCTCGCTCCATCCATCCGTAACTCTTCACCCTGTGATGGGGTTGCTGGGTGATGGCACTGGTGTCTGGGACCAAGTGGGAAGATCGAGTGGCCTCTGCACAGGTCATTTTCCTCCCATTTCCTTTCTTGCCTTCTGCCTTCCTCTCCTCTTCCTCTCCCTTTTTCCCTCCCTTCTTCTCCTCCCCTTTGCCTGTGTGCATCCAGCAGAGAGCAGGTACCCAGATGTGCTATGCCGGGCTGGAACCCCAGCTTTAACCAAGACCGGCTCCCAGCCCTGTTGTCCTTGCCCCAAAAGGCTCAGGCAGCCTGGGTCCCTGCCGCCTGGTGCCCACCCCACCCGGCTGCTCCGATTTTCAGCTCGGGTTTGATCGGCTGCCAGGATCTCCCAAATGTCAGCAGCCACGTTAGCATCTTTAAGAGAGCGCCCCGGGCAATGTTTAAGCGGGAGGCTGGGGCCCCATGCTGATGAGGGAGCTGAGCGCTCAGAGCTCCAAGCTGACAGCTCTGCCTGCCGCCTTCCCAGCAGCTCCCAAGCTTGCGTACCCCACACTTTGCGCCTGGGCAGAACCTGGACTTATTCTTAAACCCTGGGAAAGCAGGACTTTGCCAGTTGAGGCTGGCCCCTCCCAGCACCCCAAGAGGTCAGGGCAGAGCCTGTCTGGGGCACTGATAAATATTTGTTAATAGAATGAATTCAGGAACTTCCAAAGCACCCCTGAAGGAGAAGAATGCTGACTGGCACTGTCTCCCCATCACCTTGAGGGAAGACATTTAGGGTGGGGAAGTAAAGGCTCCAAACTTTGAAGTCAGACCCAACAGCCCAGGCTTGTGTATCAGATTTTCATGTGAGAGCTGTGTGACCTTGGGAAAGTTAGTGGCTTTCTCCCAGCCTCAGCTTTCTAGTCAGTGAAATGTGCACTGGGATTGAATGCCAGGGTAGGGAGTCGAGAGGATCCAGTATGACACAGAGGCTACGTGTTGTAGTACACACCTGTAATCCCAGTTACTCAGGAAGTAGAAGGAGGAAGATCCCAGTTGCAGGTCAATCCCAGAAAAGTTAGTGACACCCTCTCTGAAAAATAAAGCAAAAAGACTGGGGGCATGGCTCAAGTGGTGCAGTGCTTGCCCAGCAAGAATGAGGCCCTGAGTTCAATCCTCAGTGATGGGGGATGCCTGCTGCCTTGCCCTCTTTCCTCTACCCATGCCTCTCTGGTCCCTTTGACATTTGATGGAGGAGAAAGATGGAAGGCTGTCACCTCTTGTGAAGCCTCCAGGATTCCCCTCCAGCCTTGGGTCAGAGACCATTACCCCATTTCTCATTTCTCATCAAACTTGTCTAGCTGAGTTGTATCTCAAGACTGGGCGTCTTTGGCCCAAACCATGGCAGCCTCTGCCGCCCAAGGCATGACCCCACCCTCTGGTGATTGGTGTCCCTTTGCAGGGTAGGAAGGCTCTGGGTGTGGGTTGGTGGCTTAGTCTTCTGTATTTTTGTGGCAATTTCTCTTGGGCTTGAAATACCTAGGTAGGGAAATGGATGACCCAGGAAAGGAAAGGATAAAGAGAAGCCAGAGGCCAGTTCCCACTCAGAAGAGGGGCAGCCTGGACCTCTAAGCTGGTGCTGTAGCCTCAGTGGGACCAGGTGGATCTGATGTGTCAAAGCAGGGGCAGGGATGGTGCACATCCACTGAGGAGACAGGATTGGCATCCAGCTCACAGAAGCACGTTCCAAACCAAGAGGTATAGGGATGAGGCTCAGAATGAATAAAAGAAGAATGGATGGATGGATGGCTATTGGACGGAAACATGGACAGATGAGTGATGGCTGACTGGATGGATGGACAGGTAAGTGGGTGAGTGGGTGGGGTGTTGGTATGATGGGTAGAGGATAAATGAGTGGATGGATGGATGGATGAGTGAATGCATATGTAGAGAGGAAGATGGATGGGTGAATGGGGTCATGGGTAGCAAGGTGGGTGAGTGAGTCAATGGGTTGGCTGTTGGATGGGCGGATGGATGAATGGATAGATGGATGAGCGGGTGGATGGATGGGTGGATGGGTGGGTAGATGGCTGTTCTTGCCATGTTATCTCAGTCCTGAACCAAACAGCCACCCTTGTTGTACAGCGAGGGTTCCTTGTGCTAAGAAGCCAGGTCACTTCCCTGGGGAAGGCCCCAGGGAGTCAGGAACCCTAGGGTACAGGCAGCCTTAGTCCCAGCTGCCAGCTGTGTGTGGTCACTTTGTGGCCGAAGGGTATTATATGCACTTTGGTGGAGACTCTCAGGGCCAGGGCTTCCTCTTAGCAGCCAGGTGACCCTGGAGCTACTTCATCTCTCTGAATCTTGGATTCCTCACTGGAGAAGATTGGGCCTGTTACCTGTAGGCTTTGTGGTGTGTGTCCCTGTCGCCAGCCACCTGGTTTGCTTCCAGAAGGCTGGGTGATGTCAGCTGACAGGGAAAGCTGCAAGTGTTGACTGTTGACAACGTCCAGAGGCATTTTAGAGCCCACAGAGTGCTGAACTGGGGTCAAGGCCTAGCATGCCTCAGGGACCCCAGAGCCCCTGGCTGGCCCAAGGGTACCACAGGAGATTAGGCAGCCCAAATGACAGATATGTTAGGTCTGGTGCCCTTTTGGACCTGAGCTTAGGAGAGGTACCCGGTGGAGGGGGTGGGGACTGAAGGGCAAGGGTGGCAGCAATGCAAGTTCCCAGACCCTCAGTCCTACATACCTTTCTCTCTTTCCTCAACTGCCACAGACTCTGGTTAAAATGGCACCTCCTCCATCTGTCTTCCCTCCTTCACTCTGTGGACTCGGCTGTGACTTGGGGACTGGCTTGTCTGGTAAACCAGGCTGGTGGGTCCCCAGGGCCAGTGAGTGATAGGCCTGGTGCTGGCACCCATCCTAGGCACTGGAGTAGAAGTGAGGTACTAGGAAAGGTTTGGCTGGAAATTGGCCAAGCCAGGTCCTACCATCCCCAGTCCCCTGGCTGCCCCAGCCTTCTACAGAGGCTTCCTCTGTTGTCAGCCCCTTCCCCACATCTCCAGCTCTGGCCCTCACATCCTCCTCCCCCTGCTTCTGCTATGCTAAAAGAATTTCCAGTCCATACCTGGTGCTGACCAGGTGTTCTATGCCCTGGGGACCCATGCTTTACAACCTGAGGAACTGAGGCGGAGGGTCAGGCACGGGGAGAGCTGAGTGCACCCAGGTCTTTTCTTCCAGTCATCTCCTAGTCACAGCTGGGGGAAGGGCCAAGCCTTGAGTCCACAGACTGCGGTCCAGCCTCCCCACCATCCCCTCGGTTGCACCATCTGGGGAATGGGGAGGTCAGGGCCGCTGGTGAGCCCCAGAGCAGCCTGGGACTTGACTTTCTCTTAGTCCCCTCACCTCTCCAAGTGGAGGTAGAGGATGGGAGCGACCTGGAGGGGTTGGAGAAGAAGCTGTCCAGATCCGTTCCCTGGGCTTCCCCCCCACACCCCCGCCGCAGCCTCCCCTCCCCCGCCGTGGCGCTGCCAGCTGCCCCCTCCTCTCTCCCGCCTTCTGGCTGCCAGCTCCTCCCCGCAAAGCCCCCAGACCCCAGCTGCGGTGTTTTTACAGCTTTGACCAGCAGCTCAGCCTCCCCCTGCTCCTCCTCCCTCCCGCACCTCCCCTCCTTCCTCCCCTCCTCCTCTCCATCTCTCCCTCCTCCCCCCTCCCTCCCTTCTCCCCCTCCTCCCTCCTTCCCTCCCCCTCCATCCCCTCCCCTCTCCCTCCAGCCTCTCCGCTCCCCTCCCTCCCCTCCCTCCTCCCTCTCTCCGGGGGAAGAAAGGTCACCGAGCAGCTGATTACTCAGAGCTCAGTTGCTGTAGCAACCGGCGGGGGAAGTGGGACAGGCTGGCTTTGAGGACGCGCGAGGTCGGCCGCGGGCGGCTGGAGCCGGCGCGGGCCCCGGTGCGCGGGAGGCCGCCTGCAGCCGGGCTGTGCGCGCCGCGGGCCGGGCTCCGGGTTGCGGTTTTAATGAAGACTCCCGCAGCTCCCCCGCCCCGGCCGGTGTGCGAGGGGAGGGTCGCGCCTCCCGGGTTTGGCGGCTTCTCTCCGCTTCCCGGCTCCCCCTCCGCCTGCGTTCTGCCCGCTTCCTCCTTTCTCCCCCGAGCTGCAAGGGAGGCGCTGCTTCCCGGCGGGGCGCGACTGGCACACTCGCCAGGAGCCCAGTGCGACCCTCTGCTCCTCCTTGCCCCCTCCCCCAGCCGCTGTCACCGGCCTGGGAGACCCAGCCAGATACAAAGGTCGCAGAGGGCCTGGCCTGCGCTCCTTGGGCGCAGACTCCCCCCCTCCACTGTGCACCTGACCCTGAAGCCAGCAGCCGGTGCTCCAAGAGGCTTCCCCCACCCCCATCCCCAGCAGCCTCCGGAGCTAGGACAGCTAGGACAGCATCTAGCAGGTGTCGCTTGCAGTGAGGACCAGGGTTCCGATCGCCAGCCCCAGAGGGACCTTCTTCCATGGCTGGTCCCAAGTGAAATAGTGAGGCCACTCACTTAGCACCTTTTGGGGCTGGAGGTGTAACTCAGGGACAAAGCACTTGTCTAGGGTGGAGGCCCTGGGTTCCATCCTCAGTACCAGCAAAAAAATCAAAGGACTGGCGGAGGGCTCAAGAGGTAAAAGCACCTGCCTAGCAAGAGTGAGGCCCTGAGTTCAAACACTAGTACCACCAAAAAACAAAACAAAACAAAAAACCCACCATACATTGACCTACCCCGGAGCCAATCAACTCCTAGGCCTTTGTCCCAAAGAAAGGGAAAGTGGCACCCACACAGACTCAGATGTTCGCAACACCTTTTTAGAAAAGCAAACCCTGTAAACAATCCAGTGGCACCAGTTCCATGCCTCCCTGCAGGGGAGTGCAGCCCAGAACAGAGAAAGGAACCCTGGAGCACCACCAGGGAGGAGTCCCCAAAGCAAGGAAGCCAGGGAAAGGAACACACCAAGGGTCACATCCCTGGTCTCCCGTTTTCAGAAAACTCCAAAACCACAACGGAATCTGGGAAGCAGACAGTAGCACAGGAGTTGCCTGTGACATTGGGGGCTGGAAAGGTGACAGAGGGACTCCAGGTAGCTGCTGGGGCAGGGTGGATTTGTCCCTTGACTTGATGACAGTGATAGTTTTATGGTATGGACATGTGCCACCCTCATTAAACTGTAATTTAAACATTGTCGTCACTGAGTGCCCTGGATACCTCAATCAATTGGAAAAACGAATTCCTTCTCTCACTGACTAAACAACACAGGGTAGGTCCTCACTTCTCCAGGCCTCACATGAAGGTGACATTAGGAGGGAACCAAGCTGGTGTCTCATACCTGTAATCTTAGCTATTTGGGAGGCTGAGATCTGGAGGATTGAGGTTCGTGGCTAGCCCGAGCAAATAGTTCACGAGACCCCCATCTCCAAAATAATCAGAGCAAAATGGACTGGAGGCGTTGATCAAGGGACAGAGGGCCAGCTTTGCAAGTACAAAGCCCTGAGTTCAATCCCCGGTCTCACCAAAAAAAAAAAAAAGATTGTTGACACAAGACACTCGACTCGTGCCAAGTAAACAGTGGGTGCCCATCCAGGACAGAGAAGAACAGGATTGTGGCACCTGCCTGTCCCTCGCTGGGCTGTAAGATGTGTCCTGCTTTACACTGTCCTGATACACTCACTCATGGCTTAGAAATGACCAAAGCAGTCCCTGCTCCATGCCAGGCCTGGCCACTTCCTGGGCCAATAAGGGAGAATTGGGCCCTATTTGCATCCTCATGGGTACCTACTCTGACCCGGCATGGGGAAGAGAGGTCCAGGCATGTGCAAAGGGCCTGTGGCTGGTGGGGATGTGGGACCTCCCAGGATCCACAGGCAGAGTCTTTGTGGCTAAAACAGAGGCATTAGGAGGTCACAGACAAGCCATGTCATGTGATATGACATGGGCCAAGCTGGAGGTGACAATCTGGAGCCTGTGCAGCTGTGACTTCCCTGCTCACACATCATGCCATTCACTTCTTCTGGGCCTCAGAGTTCCCATCTGGCAAGTGGGGGTCGTGGTCCCTCTCAGGGCATGGCCCAGCGCTCAGTGATGGGGGCCCAGGTTTCCCCAACCCCTTTGTTTGTAGCTCACCCAGCCACCTGGGGCCTCCTGGGGGCAGCACCTGCAGCCCCGCCCCTCTGAGCCTCCACACCTGGCACACATCAGACACGAAGAAATACCTCCGGAGGCTGAGTGCATGGCCACGACAGGGGGGATGGAGGGACAAAGCAGGGCTTTCATGGGACAAGGAGCTGACTTCCTCTGTAGGGGGCAGGTGTGGGCCCCAGGTGTGCACAGCAGGTGCTCAGACCTCCTGCCCCGCCCCAGGCTTCAGTCTAAGACGTCAAGTTCAGCACAGTCATTGCCACTTTCCTGCTTTTCTGAGCCGTGGTTGGTTTTGCCCATTAACTGTGAACAGCTCAACCAGACAGACAGGTTTTCACCCTTTGCTCCAAGGGGCCATGGGGTTGACCTCAGACATTCCCACGAGGAGCAGGCCAGGGGGGGCTCAGCCAGTCCGCACCTCATGCCAGAGTCAGGGCAGGCCTGGTCACACAGCGGTCATGAGGAGGACTGTCCCCTGGGGCTGGGCCAGGCAGCAGACACCTCCCCATTCCTTTCCTGTAGCAGAGCTGTGTGTGGGAGGGGAGGTAAAGACCTAAGTTGAGACCCAGAAGCCTTTGCAGGAACAGAGGGCTCTGGTCATCCTGCCATTACCCCCTTAAAAGTCCCGTGGAGCCATGGGAGGGGAGACAGGGCTGGGATGGGGGAGCTTGAAGCCACCATCCTGACCTCACTGGCCCCAGGAGCCTGTGGGAGCTAGGAGGAGACCTTTGACCCAACCTATTGTCAGGCAAGGGGGCAGAAAAAGCCTCCAGGAGAGGAGGTCTGGCCTGAGACCTAAAACTTGAGTAGGAAGCAGTGGAGCAGAGAGTGTGCCATTGCTTCTGGCACCCAGCTCATGTAAGGGCCCAGTGGTGAGAATAAAGCAGAGCTAAGTCAAACAATCAAAAAGTGTTCAGTTTCAGAAAAGCAGGGCAAGTGGCACTGAGAGGTAGAGGTGAGTGTGGGTGGGGTCATTCCAGGCTCTTGAACATTTTATTTTCAATGTCTCACTGAGAGTAATGGGGAGCCATGGAAAGTTTTAGGCAGGGAGTGGCACATTCAGAAATATCTGTCTGTCCTGATGAAAAGGGATTGCAGGGGCAAAGGTAGATGCAGAAAGACCAGAGGCAGCTACTGTAGATGTCCAGGATAAAGGGGGGTGGGGCAGGAGGCTGCACTAGGGTGGTAGAGGGGGATGGGCAAATTTGAAAAGACTTAGAGCGTAGATTTGACTGGACAAGTAGGTGAGGGAAAGGCGAGGGGTGGGCAATGCATGGATAGAGGTCATTGCTGCAGCCTGGCCTCCCGCGGGGCCTGGTTACCTCATAGTCCAGTCCTGTCCCTACAGCTGCCCTCTTTGGGTCCCCAGGGAGCCATTCTGGATGTAAATGCAGGGCTCTGGTGGGCAGAGGACCTGCAGGTAGACAGCTGGCAGTCCTGGGGCCCAAGTCCCAGGGCCCTGGGCATGGTCAGAAGCCAGGAGAGGGCAAAAGCCTCCGCTGTCTGCTCCCAGGATGGATCACCCAGGTGAAGCCCAGGAGCCTGGTGTTCCCTCTGCCTGGGCCCCCCATTCTCACTCCTTACATCATCTCCTCCTTGAGACAGACAGACTGCCAGACAGACCACCAGCCCCAGAGGGCCTGCGCAGCTGAGTCAACACTGCAGGGCTCCAGCCATCATGGGGAATGAGGATCAGTCAGGGCCCCTGTGGCCCTGGCTGGATCCTGCAGACTGTGGCTGGCTTCTCCCTCAGCCCAGGTCCTCCTCACCTCTCTGTTCCTTGCCTCCAAGAGCGAAGCTGTCTCAACTCCAGATCATTGGGACCCCTTATCCCACACCCAGCTGTAGCAGGTCCTATTGATGCTGCCACCAAATCTGTCCCCTCTGCCTCCCTATGGCCACCCCACTGTCCCGTCCCCATGGCCTCCCCAGCACAGCTTGACCAGCTCTCCCTGACCCTCACATCCTGGGGCCTCCTGCTTCCATCTCCCCTTCCCCAGCCCTCCTCTTGGGGAGGCTCACAGTCAGGGGGTGCACACAGCCCTGCCCCCACCACCCCGCCAAGGTCACCTCGAATAGCTGGCCCCTCACTCCTGCTCTTAAGAGCTGTTTCCTACACCGTCACCTCTTCCCCCAGGCCTTGGCACTCGTTCCCACGGCTGGGCACCTTTCCCAGATCTCCTATTGATCCTCAGGTCGAATTTGGACGTCACCTGGGCCTGACCCAGGCCACATCCTCACCTCTGCCTTCACCTGAGCCACCTCACCATCGCCCTTCAGGAAGCTCC